TATTTCTGCATAAATATGACCCAAAACATAATTATATTTTCACACAAATCCTGAAAGTAGACAAAGAGAATCCAATCAAACAAAGGAGACAAAAATATATACTTTGTCATTTGTTTATTGAGAAAAATGATCCGGTGTTAAATATTTGTGAACGGCAAAAGTATGTGAATCTTTGCTTTCAGTATCTGGTGTGACCCCATTTTGCAGCAATAACTGCAACTAAATGTTTCTTGTAACTGCTGATCAGTCCTGCACAACCGCTGGCAGTAATTTTAGCCCATTCTTCAGTACAGAAACCGCTTCAGCTCTGTGATATTGGTGGTGGGTTTCCTCCAATGAACTGCTTGCTTCAGGTCCTTCCACAACATTTCAGTTGGATTAAGGTCCAGACTTTGACTCAGTCATTTCAAAACATTAACTTGGTTCTTCTTTAACCATTCTTTGGTAGAACGACTTGTGTGCTTGGGGTCGTTGTCTTGCTGCATGACCCACTTTCTCTTGAGATTCAGTTCATGGACAGATGTCCTGACATTTTCCTGAAGAATTTGCTGGTATAATTCAGAATTCATTGTTCCATCAATGATGGCAAGCCATCCTGGACCAGATGCAGCAAAACAGGCCCAAACCATGATACTACCACCACCATGTTTCACAGATGGGATAAGGTTCTTATGCTGGAATGCAGTGTTTTCTTTCTCCAAACATAATGCTGCTCATTTAAACCAAAATGTTCTATTTTGGTCTCATCCATCCACAAAACATTTCTCCAGTAGTCCTCTAGTTTGTCCACATGATCTTTAGCAAACTGCAGATGGGCAGCAATGTTCTTTTTGGAGAGCAGTGGCTTTCTTCTTGCGACTCTGCCATGGACACCATGGTTGTTCAGTGTTCTCATGATGATGAACTCATAAACATTAACATTAGCCAATGTGAGAAAGGTCTTTAGTTGCTTAGAAGTTAGCATGCAGTCCTTTGAAACCTAGTGGACTTTTACACGCCTTGCTTTTAGAGTGTTCTTTGTGGGTGGAGCACTCCTGGGGAGTGTAACAGTGGTCTTGAATTTGTACACAATCTGTCTGACTGTGGATTGGTGGAGTCCCAACTCTTTAGAGATGGCTTTGAAACCTTTTCTATCCTGATGAGCAACAGCAACTCTTTTTCTGAGATCCTCAGAGATCTCATTTGTTTGTGCCATGATACACTTCCACAAACATGACCAAACTTTGATAGATCCCAGTTCTTTAAATAAAACAGGGCGCACACTGACACCTGATAGTCATCTCACTGATTAAAAACACCTCTGAACAGATGGACTCTAATTTCACCTTCAAATTAACAGCTAATCCTATAGATTCACATACTTTTGCCGCTCACAGATATGTAATATTGGATAATTTTCCCGAATAAATAAATGACAAAAGTATATATCTTCATCTCATTTGTTTGATTGGGTTCTCTTTGTCAACTTTCAGGACTTGCATGAAAATCTGATGATTTTTTGGGTTATATTTATGCAGAAATGTAGACAATTCTAAAGGGTTCACAAACTTTCATGCAGCAGTGAGTATATATATGAACTTGCTGAATGCTGATTTTTTTTTCATAAAAAAATGTTTAAGAAAATCCATTGAGTCTGATATCTTTTAAATTATTTTTCTTTAAACAAAAATAACCCACCTTTGCACCCTTCCTGTAGCCATCAGTGACATTTATACACACCTCTACTTTCTGTTTGGCACACCCTTCCTTTCCAAGATTAGAAGGGCTGCTGTCTTCTGATTTTCCTGTAATTTAGTGAGATACAGGTGTGGATCTATTGCTGGCTTTGTCCAGTGCAATATTTTGTTTTCAATCATCCTTGGGTCTCTTGATGTGTTAGAGTCAAAGTACATGACCTTTAAAAGTGCCACAGCTTTGTGGTGCTGATTTGTGCCTTAGTCATTTCTAACTAAGATGTGATAGAAAGCACTGCAGAATTACACAGAATTGTAACGCTTATCATTCACAAAGTTCTACACATCCCCTGCCTCATGCATGTATGTTTATTTGAGTTTTTTTTTTTTTTTTTGTTAATTTGATAATGTTATATGATATATTTTATAATGTTATACTACTAAGAATGTAGAAATAAATTTAAGACATTTTCCACAGAATTCCACAGTTTTTCCTGCATGATCAGCAAAGATAATATTTTTTAAAAGACTATGGAAACTGTTTGCATTTAAAAATATAAACATTTTATTTCATATTTTGCCATCATTCATTAATATGCTATGCCGTAAATCTCTATACTTACAGGGGAAAAAAAGCTTCATTCTCAGAATGTGAGTCTTAAAATCTTAAAGGTTAACTGGTTTTTTAAACATCAACATTGTATGCCATAATCAGTGAATTTTAGTGCACTCTCTAACCTAAACAACAAACAAACAAACTAAAACAGTCTGTATCTTTATCCACATCTAAAGATACAGACTGTTTTTGTTTGTTTGTTTAATCTACATAGCAAACATTTGAAATGGATAAATGATGATGTTTAATTAATTCCGCCATTATAAAGTATGGTCACACTGTTTAACACATTTTTGCTGATGAAATCCAGTAATTTCAATAGCATTCCATGCAATCTGCAAATTTGCATGGGTGAAAGAGTTACCCACAAAAATTTTGCAGTGGGTTCAATTAGTCACAATGGTGTAATGTAACACCACAGTAAAGTAATTTTACTTCGTTAGAGTACTTAAGTATTATTTAGAAGAATCTGTACTTTACTTGAGTTTTAATATTTCTGTCAACTTTCACTTTTACTCCACTATATATTTCCTAATTAAAATGTATATTTTTTCTCCGATACATTTCCCCGAAGCATTCGTTACTACAAAATAAAGTAAATAAAATAAAATAAAATAAAGCAGGTTTGATGAAACAGTGGTCTGGCGCTCGCAAGTTAAGACTCCTAAAAAACACCTCTGCTCATGTGCAAACAAGTTCTCGCACAACCGCAGTTGATTTCATTTTCCAATCAAGTCGAGGCTGGGGAGTGCGATTTACAGTATATCATCTGCGTTAATAATGATGTGCGATGTAACATCATCGAGTATATCACAAAAACACACAGAGAGTGCGCCCATACACCACGTGATTTAGTCTATTAAAATGCATTCAGCTGTTCAAGATGTTCTGTCTTTTATATTTATATCATTTAATATAGTTAATCTATTTCACACTAAGAGTACCGTTTTTTTTCTCCAGATCAGCATGATAACAATTGGAATACTGATTTTATACAAGTTTAATAAAGTTAGTATTAAGTTACTTACATTTTAGGCACAATATTGCCTGTTTTTGCTGTATTTCGCGAATGAAAATAGTTCCAAACTGCACTGTTTTGTGACTTGCTGACTTTAATTTCACATTTCAAGTAGGCTATATTTTCATGTTTTAAATCTTTTCAAATATCAATATTCAACGTTTTATGTTTAAAACAAAACATTATTTATGCATTTGTAACTGATATTAAATGCATCCCCTCTGAGCTGCATTAAACTGTCTGTGTACATGAATCTAAATGCCATTTCAGATGCAGATTCCATTTTTGCGAGAAATGTTTTCTTATGTTGGAATGAAAGAGACAAAGTACCGGATGAAGTGGCTCTTATGCTAACCCAAAGATACAAAATGGAAGAAAGAGTTAAACCTGAAAACAATCTTGCTGCTCAATCTGTGTATAGAACAATTTTTTTATATTTATTTTATCCTTTTTCTATTTTCTATTTCTATTTGTACTTTTACTTTCAATACTTAAGTAAGTTTAATATTAAAGAAATACTTTTCATGCTTAAGTAGGCTACAATAAATATCCCATACTTTAAAACTTTTACTCAAGCAGTATTCTAAACGGTGACTTCAACTTCTACCAAAGTCATTTTCTGGTAAGATATCTGTACTTTTACTCAAGTGTGGCTTTCAAGTTCTTTATCCACCACTGGTTGGTCATGTGATTTTGCTGTTTATAGAACTCTCCTTGGTTCGAAGGTTAACGTCTATGACCTGTGCTTCACACAACTACAGTACACTATTGACAGTAGACAACGGATATTTTGCTTGCAAAATTTCGCGGAAATTTGGCTAATATTACCGCACTTTTAAGTATAAAACAACTGAGGAAAATGAGTAGGAATTTTAGAGCATCATCATACGTTGCACCATTGCTGATAATGAATTGCGATCATCAGATAATATATAAAAACTATATTACTTAGTCCTTGTATAACACAAATTACGTAATACAAGATTATGTAATCAAGAAGTCATTCCTATTAATCCCTTAATGTTCATTTAGTCAACAGAAGACTTTTAAACAGCTGTGGTGAGACAGAATGTTTCTCCTCCATTCATCCCCTTCTCTTCACTTTTTTCATCTCCTTTCAGTGTCTCGTTCTCTGCCAGTGTTTTTCCTGTCTTGTCTTCATTCACATCCTCATCTATGTAAATCAAAGGCTCCTGCTCCTCCCATTTCTTAGCCTCCTTGGTACCGTCCCCACCCACTCCACCATTAGACATGTCTCCTGCATCCAGAGCGGCGAATGTGCTGAGCATCATATCATCTCCATCCGGTTTCCCATTATTAGGCAGAAGACCATCCTGTACCTCAGCATCACATTCAGCTCCCGCTTCCAGATTGACAGGCCCCGCCCATGCATCATCCTCCCCCCCTTTTTTCTTCTTGGACCGTTTACTTTGTCCGTCTACATACATGGGGCCGAAATTTCTTGAGGCGTTTTTCTTTCGCCACTGGACGAACAGAATCATGCCCACACATAGCACAAAAATAATGGCCACACACACTATCATTATTAATAACCAGCTGGTTTGTATGGGCAGACTGCTTTCCTCGATAATTACGCTGGTGGTGGTGGGGGTGAAATGGTTGGAGACTGATTCTTCATCAAACTTCGAGTACGGGTGCACGGGTGCAGCAGTATTTTGAGGGAGCTGAGAAGTTGATGTTAGACTTGTAGTGGAGGTTTCAGTGCTGGTGTCCACAGGGTTGGAGATGATGGACGGAGACTCAGACCAGTCTGCTGGGGATTCAATCAGGAAGGATGTGGGATCGAGGGCTTCTGTTGAATCAGTGGTCATGGCCACAGCTGCTGTGGTGATTTCATCTATAGGACGTTCTGTAGGACTGGTTAACTCAGTGAAGCCAACAATTGTTTCATATTGGCTTGTGCTTGGGGCGTCTGAAGTTATTTGTTCAGTCACTGTTGTTTCCACATTAACAGGCACAGTAGGGGTGGTCACTGTGGTCTGCTCTGTTTGTACAGTTGTTGTTTCAGGAACAGATTCTGGTGATGTTTGTTCGATCTCAGTACTGAGTGGTGGAGTACTCTCAAATGCTGGTTTCTCAAGCATGGTGCTTACTTGATTAACAAGTGTGGTTTCTGGATTATGCGGATCCGTTTCTGTCTGTAGTAGAGTAATTGTATTTTCAGATGTGGTGATGGTGATTTCAGAACTTAACTTTGACTCCACAGTGTCATTGTTCGGTAATGTGATGGTGATGTTTGCATCTGTCTCTGTTGTTGTCTCTTGTGCATCAGTGGACTTGAAACAGGGTCCGAGAGCAAGAAACAGAAGCAAATTGCTAAAAATAAGCCTCATGGTGAGCATACTGGCTGGAAAAGTCACTCAATCTAGAAGTTTCCTATGGCAATTTCAGTGTTTGTGCAACAAAATTGCTCAGGTGAGCTGATATTGTCTTTGGAGATCCACTTTTGAGCCTCGAGAACGTGATAAAAAATGAAGGAAACCTTCAAACTCTGAGCAGCTGGTAGAAGAAATTCATCTTTTTTACTTGTTCTTTGCGTGGTTGTGTTCTACAGAGGTTATCTTGCGTGAATCTGGGCCGGAAAGTTTTACACAGGCCTGTTCCTTCCTCTTTCTCCTTCTCTGTCTCTCTCAGTGTAGCATGGGCAATTTCAGCTTTGAAATAAACACGTGACAGTAAAAAAAGACACCGGAAGAAAAAGACAGTTAGTCAAAAAAAGTTATCACTCTTATTTGTCTCAAGAATATATATTTTATATTAATTGTATTTGTTTTTTGGTAAGATTTTGTAATGTTTTTAAAGAAGTCTCTTATGCTCTCCAAGGGTTCATTTATTTGATGAAAAATAGAGTAAAAACAGTAATGTCATGAAATATTATTGCAATAAAAAAAAACTGTTTTCTATTTAAATATATTTTAAAATATAAGTTATTCCTGTGGTGGCAAAGCTGAATCAGCAGCCATATTGTTTTGCGGAAAATATTCAGAATTATTCTGAATGAGAATATAAATATAATTTATCATTCTAAATAATATTTATTTATTTTTGCTAGAAGGTAGAATTAAATTCTAATGTTTTAATCTAAATAGACTTTCTTGGGAATCTTGGGAACCCCATGAAATTGGGGTTGTTTGCACTATGTTTTACCTACCAGAAGAGCTACACTTTATTTGACGGGCAGAACAGAGGTACATCCTCAGGTTATTTTAGTGCGCATCTACCACAGGTGTTTATGTTTCTCTAAGCTGCATGCAACGTTTTTTTTTCTTTCTTTTTGTCTACCTGTCCTCAAGCATCGTACAATGTCACAGCCACAAACCGTTTGATCCCTTTATGAATAAGTACGATTGCCACTTACCTTCATGCCTCTGAGAAAAGTCACAGCAAACTCCGACCACCAAGACAAAACTGCACATGTGAAAATCTACACACTCACACATGCAGAGCACACCTATATCCTGTTCATTTCTCTTCCTCTCTTACTCCTACATGCTCTCTTTCATTTCTCCTCCCTCTGAAGATGTCATATCACTGCTTGCATCTGGCCGAGTGAGGCTGCAACCGAAAGATTAAAAAAATAAAAACATGCAGAAAGTGCTTGGTTATAGTATGAATTATTATCCGAGGCTGACGTAGAAAAAGAGAAGCCAGGCTCTAATGGGAAGCTCTGTGCTGACACTTTTGTGGGTTTTGACTATGCTTTGTCTGCACAACTTTGCCATTAAATGTCTATGTGCAAGCATGTGTGCGTTTGATTGTGCACATGTATGAGTACGTGTTTGTTGGGTGGAGGGTATTAAAACAGAGAAGTGTGAAAATGTGTGTCTAAAGTAAAGTTTGCTTAAACAGTTCTGAGATGTATGTCCTGTCCTTTCATATTTCACAATCTAAATGATTACATATCTAAAATAAAAGCAGGATTTGGTAACTTTACCAATTGCAGTTATCAGGTAGGTTCATTTGGGCATTTTTACATGAGCATGATACCTTGACTTTGACTTTAAAAACTGTTTTTTCTTTCTGTCGATCTTTAACTTCAGCTGAAAACAAGAGTAATCACTATCATTTCCTCTTTCTGAACATTTAGCACCTTTTCATGACGTTTGTCTCTCACTCTTTTTTTTTTGTTGCACCACTCAAGCACAACAGAAACCAGCATCATCTGTTGTAAATCTTCAAAATGATCGATTTACACCATCTCAGAATCAATATGTATTTTGCTTCACTTTATTTCACATGATAATCTTTACAAGTGCAAGCCAGCACTGTGAGACTTCCAAAGACAATGTGTTATCAGAGATTTTAGCTCCTAGATTTTTTCTTGGGCAAGTTACCGCAAGTCCTGACCTAGTGATGGTGGAAACACAAGCTGTCATTATATGAACTGAAAAATTCAGAATAGCCCAATAAATTATGTTCCTTCTTTCAGTACTGTTTGCTCAAAGCATATAAAAAGAAATTGCATATTTAAAAACTGCATATTATTATTCAATGCACGGTAACTCTCAAAAATATGTGTATTTTTATTTATTTTATTCAGGGATTGGAAGTTTCTGAAAAATAACCTAGAAAGTTCTGAATATTTCAGCAGCGTAGGTTGGAAAGGTTCCGTCTAAATCCCCTTGTGTTTTAGGCACAAGTCTGAAGGTCTAACTGTCCAAATTGTTTTCTTTGGTGTCTTTCAAAGTTTTATAACTACGTGTCCTGCATCCTCTCTTCCTTCATGCGTCTGTTTGCGTACCAGAACTCTGTTATGTCATCGACAGTCACTCTAGGCTGAATCCACAGCCCATTCTCCTCATTATCCTGTTCCTGTCCTCTTCTCTTCATCCTCTTCTGTCTCTTTCTGTCTTTGCTGTCGGCCTCCAGCGTGGATCCATTGATGTACCAGAACTCCACTCTCTCCTGCACTGAAGCTTTGGGGTCGGCCCAGAGGCTCTCCTTCTCACATGTCTGACCTCCTTTCCCTCTCCGCTTCATCTTTTTTCTGAAGACAGACAGACGCACCAAAAGGAAAATGGTTATTCCTAGAAATATGGTGGCGGTCATTGCTAAAGTCCACACTGTGATGAAGCAGACCAGCCTGGATTGCCGAGAATGAGATTCTGGGTTTGGGTTCAAACATGCAGTCCACACTTTGTTTTCTGTGTCAGTTTTGTTTGTTCTGTTGGTTGTGGCATTTAGGCTGCTGTCAGTTAGGACATCAGTTATAATAGAGATGTTGATGTTGGTGGTGGTACCACCGGGTGTGTCTGTTCCTGTCCTGTTTTCTCTTCCTGTGGGTGCTGTAGAGTTTGTGAGCCTGTATATATTCTGTGGCGTCGTAGAGTGTTTTCCGCCACTTACTGAGGTGTGATATGGCACATCTGTAACCGTTGGGTCTTGTGCTGTTGTGTAAGCCGGTGTGGTCATGTGAATATCTGTGTTTTGTGAAATTGACCATTCGTTACTCCCTGTTGCTGTTGTAGCACTTACATCGGTTGTATTCGCTGCTGTGTCGTAATGTTCCTCTCTGTGTTCACTTGTTAACCTGTAAGTTCCCTCAGTGCCTCGTGTTTCTCTCAACTCCTCGTTCGTATTAGCAAATGTGGCCTGGGTGGAGTTAGTTTCATAATTTCCTTCATCTGCCTTCGTTCTCTCATCCTCTTTCTCTGTCGAATGTCTCCAGGGAACTGTTGAGACACTGTCCACTGGGTCTGATAAGGTGTCTGCAGTCTGAACAGTGTGCCCTTCATAGTTGTAACTCACACTTGACATTGTTCCTGTTTCATTACTGTCATCCTTTTGTGGCGTCAGTCTTGCAAAGTTAGTGGAAACTGTTGTATGACTTGTATTCGCATGGCTCATAGCAACATGGCTAACACTCACGCCATCATCCATCATGTCATTTTGAGATGGACTACTGCTGTTGTCTTGATGCAGGGATGCTGTTTCCTGTGTGAGTGTCACATTTGGTGTTGTATTTGGCTGTGTATGCACTTCACTGGGCAAATTTGTTATGCTGTCCTGTGTTGTTGCGTTCAGAGGTGACGGAGAGGTTGCATATATAAGGATCTTAGGTTCTGGGTTTGTTTTTGTTGTTGCTGGAGTTATTTGTGTGGTTTCAGTGTAGTCGCTAAGGGTGTTTGGTGGCAGTGTCTTGAAATAAAGAGCTGAGGCAATGAGGAACTGAGTGAAACACACTGTGATGGACAACAGAGTCATCTCCATTGTGACTTCTGTAAAAGAGCAAGAGATGGCATGAGTACAGACAACGTGACAACATTACAGGAAAACAGAAATGAAAACACACACACACACACACACACACACACACATAAATAATAATGTTCAGTTCATTAATGCAATAAGTGCCTGTACCCATGAACTTACCAATGAACATTTAAAAAATGTTTTTGTAGTTAACATATTCATTTTAATTCATATTTGTTCATAATACATTATATTGTTAATTTATACAACTTGAAATGTTAGTATATTAGTGTATGTAGAGATTAATGATAATGAAAATGAGATATTTTATTAGCTTTTTTTATATACACACGCACACACACACATATACATATATACACACACACACACATATATACATATTAATATATATATATATA